GATAGATTTCCAATTTTATCAGTGAAATATCTGTGGAAAGCTGGGCTTAGTGGTACAACCTGTAATGATAGGGCTCAGAAGATTGAGAGAGGATGAACATGAGTTTGAGGCTAGCCTATGCTACATAGTGAGTTCAAGACCAGCCTAGGCTATATAACTAGCCCGTTCCTCCCCTGCTCCCATCAAAAATGGTTTAAATATGTTTGTTTGCTTGTTTTTCTGTTGCTATATATGTACTTACATAGTATCCTACATTTCGCCTCTTGGCCTGCAAAATCAAAAATATTTAATCTCTGTTTTTGTTGTTGCTGTTGGTCATGGGGCTTGAACTCTCTTCAGTTCTTCAGTTCAAGGCTAGTAGTGCTCTACCAACTTGAGCCACAGTGCCACTTCGGTTTTTTGAATGGTTTATTAGAAACAAGAGTCTCATGGCCTTTCCTGTTGGGGCTGGCTTTGAACCATGATCCTCAGATCTCAGCCTCCTGCGTAGCTAGGATTACAGGTGCAAGCCACTAGAGCCCGGCTAATCTCTGGCTCTATAGACAAAAAGCTCCCCTCCCCCCCCAAGAGGTTTTCAGTTCAAATAATATATTGCTCTTTGCTGCCAAATGAATCCTAGCTTAACTTCTCATACACACACACACAAAAAAAAAAAAAACCTCCTCAAATATAGAAAAAGAGAGAGAACAAACAAAACAAAACAAGCTTTCACAGAATCAAAGACTAAAACTGATCTGTAACCTGAGGCTTAGATCTGGGTGAAATTGATGTTAATTAGGAAGCAGATGGTTCTGCAGGGCTGGATTGCAGAAATCCCAGTCACACTTTCCCTTTTATTGCATTTCCCGAGACACTGACTGATATAGGTAGGGAGCCCTTTCTAAGGCCCTTCTTCTGATGGTACTCTATCTGTCTCCCAACTAAAAAAGATTGGTATCTAATCTAAACTATATATCCATTTCTCCACCCTTGGAAGCTATTCACCAAGATTCTGGTCCCCATCCTTACCTGCTCTTAGAGCTCTATATTGTCTGTTTAGGCAGATAGACTCAAAAACAAACAAACAACAACAACAACAATAAAAACAAGTGCTGCTGAGGCTCATGCCTGTAATCCTAGCTATACAGGAAGCTGAGATCTGAGGATCACAGTTCAAAGCCAGGTTGGGCAGCAAAGACTGAGACTTTTATCTCTAATTAACTACCAAAAAAATTCCAGAAGTAGAGCCATGGTTCAATCGATTCAGTGCTAGCCTTGAACAAAAAAGCTCAGGGTCAGCACCCAGGCCTTGAGTTCAAGCCACAGGATGGGCAGCAAAAAAATAATAAGATAAAATAAAATAAAAATCCAAGTGCTACAGAGAATAAGGAAGGAATTGAAAGGAAAAGAGAGGAGAGTACCATGTAAGGCAGTACAGTCTGCCTAACTATGGTACTTCTATCTATGATAGTAGCTTCATGGGGGTAAGACCTGTGCAGTCAATCACATAAGACCCCATGATCAGAAGACTCTGTGCTTGACTTACTATTCTGCTCGTACTGTCTTGAAATCTTAATATTTGAACAAGGGGATCTTATGTTTCTAATTTTGTTTCTTTATGATACTGAAGATTATACCCTATGGAGGGCTTTGCAGTCATTCTCTATGCCTCTAGTTCTCCTCCCCC